ATCCTTTAGAGAGCAAATGTCACTTCTAGAAGCTGGAAATCTACCCCAAACAGGTCAAGTCCCCATTTTATACAACAGCTTCACTTTGATACTTTCCTGCTGCACTTACCACAAAAGTAATTAAGTGGATGACTAGCTGCCTAATGCCATCTCCTCTCTCCCCAAGAACGTTAGTTCTGTAAAGGAAGAGATCGAGCACATCCCGATCACCACTATGTTCCCAAGGTCCAGCAAAGAATAATAACAATAGGTAGCATATTATTATGTGGCAGGGACTTTTCTGAGCTCTTAAGATGTATTAATTTATTTAAACTTCACAACAATCTACAAGAGAGTTACCACCTTCATTATAAAGAAAAGAAGGCTGAGACACAGAGGCCCAAGATTACGCAGTTAGTAACAAGATCAAGATTCAATCCCAGGCATCTGGTTATCCTGAGCATTATCTCTGCCTCCTTCCAGGTTCCCCTGAATATTTGAATGACTATTTGAAGAAATGAATGAGAAAAAAAAACATATTAGCAATAAAATGTGTATTTACTATAAATTAAGCCCCAGCAGACACATGCCCTGTAACAGCTGTAGCTCATCATTTCATGGTCACCTGACCATAATAGATAAAGAGGATTCCAATGTCATAATGGAAATACTAGGAACAAAGCTCCATAGACACTCTCATTAGAAATTCAATTATAATGATATCTTTGGAATAATAGACTATTTGAGACTTTATATTTCAGTGACAGAAATCTGAAATTAAAAGATTTGGAGTAAAGGCATAAATGGTTTTGCAATACATATATGCATCTACTCTAATTATAACAACTGACCAACCATGAAGCCCTTGCCCTCTCTTCTCTCCTCTCTCCTCTCTCTCTCTCTCTCTCTCTCTCTCTCTGTCTCTTCCCCCCATCCCTGCTCTGTCTCTTTGCATGCTCCTATTTCCTGTTAAAATCAGCTTTTAAAGAGGGTCTGTAATTGTAAACAAGTTGTGCAGAATAAACAAGCCATTATTGTAATGAGGATGATTCTTGCTGAGGCTTATTTTTTAAACCCAAATTATAGACTCCCAGTCTAAATTGTATCTGGTTTTTATGTTACTTGCTTTCAAATTTAGTCCTTATTTGCATTTTGCCTGACCTACTAGTTAGAGCACAAGTTCACAGAACCCCTTCTGAAGCTGTAATGAGCTTAGGTAATAACCACCGCATAATTGTATTCAACTGCTTACAAGTGTTTGCCTTTTACTGTTGTACGTCTGCCTCCAAGATTTTTGAGATGCAACTATGCACTGCAAAATTTGCAAGTTGCCAGCCTTGCTTGGACTATTTTTGCTATGTTTCACATTTAAACTGCTTAAGTGCATAAGAGGAGGTATAAAACACCATGTTTTCCAGACTAGAAAATTACTGTTACTTAAAAGGCAGAATTTCTACTCTGTGGTTTCCTATTTCCATGCCTTGCCTCAGCTACATATCTTTTTAACCATCTGTTTCTTTCTGGCGACCAGTGACAGGGAAGCAAGCAACTGTATCTTCATTACTATGTGGTTTGACATCTGGTATCTAAATCCAACCACGGCATTTATTTGGTGAATTGTTTAACAATGAGATCATATTAGTTACACTTGCAGATCTCTTTTCATTAACATCTTCAACTCTGCTTATTTTAGAATTGCATGCAATTTTTGACAGAAATAGTACGCATTTTTTCTGCAAGTTGCATAGAATTTGGCTATGTGAATATGAAAATTTTTAAATAACAAAAGTAAATTACATGGGAATTAAAATTGAAATTTTTAGATATGATAGAAGGAGGTGAGGCACACATGGCAATGTGCATAAGATTTTACATAGTTTCAAGTCTACTCTGTGGAACAAATTCAAACTCTGTTAAAATCATGACATGTATCTCTCTTATCAGACAGAAAGATACTGCTGATCCACAGTGAGTTGGAAAATTATGCTATTCTTCCTGAAAGGAAAGACTTACCATTGTCTTACCTTTCCCTTGTGACTAAAGGTGTCTGTTTGGAAAAAGACTATCTAGGGTTAGGGTACAGTAGGATGTCCCAGAACCTAAGAAAGACCAATACACCAAAGAATGAAACAAGTGCCATGGTCTCCTAGCCCCACTCATGGCATAGTTTACAAATTTAAAAGACATGACCTTCCTATCAATTTCTTAGTTGTTCTTGGTATTGACTTGCATGTGTACTTAAAACCACTTGAAAATCCAAAGTGATCCAGGAGTAATTCAGCTGGAAAAAGCAATTCTGCACTGAAAATAATGTCAGAAAAAGAGGGGTGGCATTAGCAGTGTCCTATCAGTGGAGAGACAGGGAATTACCTTTGCTAAGAAGGAGACAGAGAATCTACCTGCACCATAGGAAGCCTTTGAAAACTAGTTCCTCTTTATTTCCTGCTGTCTCTGCTCCTTAAAGAATTACATCACAATTTTGTGGTCATCTCAGAAATCATACATAATACCTATTTATTTACTTGAGAAATATTACTTTGCAAGTTCTATGGGAAAACTATCAAAAAAGACAAACCCAGAGTAAAATAAAGGCATATTTCCTAGTGCCTTCAGTTGACACTAAATTTCCTTTAAATTTGCTTAAAGATATGTGTTATGGTTTAGATCTAAAATGCCCTTTCAAATTTTCCTGTGTTTTGGAAAGTGACTGGATTGTGGAGGCACTTTACTCATCAATGGATTATAATGAAATGTGCTGGTCAGAGGCAGGGCCAAGTAGGAAGAAGTGGGTCACTGGCAGTGAGACCTGTAAAGGTGCATCTCCTTCCCCACCTCCTCCATTTTCATCTGCTTCCTGGACACCATGGGTTAAGCACCTTTTCCTTTTCCTTTTCCTTTACCATGCCCCTCTGTTGCCCTGTTTCTGCCTTGAAGCCAACCAACCATGGACGGGAATTATGAGTCACAATAAACTTTTCCTCCTTTGAGGTGTGGGTGTTGGGTGTTTTGATTAAGACAGTATTATATTTACCCTGAAGAGCCTTTCTCATCTACTCAAGTCACACCTTTTACAGACTAGAGAAATTATTTCCATCCTTTCTGATTCAGCTCAGCTATTACCCTATCTATAAAGCCTCCTGGACTTCTCTTTGATAAAACACTCCTTTATACTATGAGATAATTCCATTAACTGCATATGTTTCTACTATTAAAACTCTTTAAAAAGTGTGTAGGTCATTTGTTTACATGACAAAGCCAGTCATCTACTGTTATGACTATGTAACACACTCAGTAGTACCATTGGCATAGCAAAATAAGCATGTAGCTTCCTCACAAGTCTGTGGGAACTCTTTCAAGTGTTTCAAGTGTTGTCCAGATTAGGTAGCAGATAACATGGGGAGCCTCATTTTAAAGCAGTAACATCACAAAGCCATAAGAAAGCAAGCAGAATTAATAAACTTTGCTCAAAAGTGGCACATTTCTTCTGCCCACATGCAAATGTCCAAAACAAATTAGAAAGTCAAAGCATAAGAATCTGGGTGTGGTGGTACATGCTAATAATCCCAGCACTCCGGGAAGTTGAGGAAGAAGGATTGCAACTTCAAACCCAGCCTGAGCAACTTGGTGACTAAGTAGGACCCTGTCTCAAAATAAAAAATAAAGGACTGGAGATGTAGTACCCTGTGAAGGCTCTGGGTTCAATCCTCAGTACCAGAAAAGAAAAAGACATCAGAAATTAGCATTTTATCCTCAAGGAGACAGCAACAAGGAGATGGCTATTCAATCTACCATAATGTCTGATACAGCAAATGGCACACATTTAATAGAAATCTGTTGGAAGGAATAAATAAAACCAAAAACATTCAAAATAAATACAAATTTTGTGAAAATAAAATATGCCTTTTAAGAAATTTCAGTGTTCAAATTGCTCTGTATTAAGCCTTGAATTACCCATTTAATGCTATTTGCATGTAGAAGCTTATAGCCATTCCCCATTGTTGTTAAAATAAATTACCATGAATTTAGCAGGTTAAAAACAGAAAATTTATCATCTTATAGTATAGTTGTGGATGTCAGAAGTCTAACTGGGTGTCACTGGGCCCAAATCAAAGTGCTGTCAGAAATATATTTCTTTTGGAGATTCTGGGAGAAAATTCATTTTCTTACCCTTTTCAGTTTCTAGACATCACCCACACTCCTTTGTTCGTGGCCTCCTTCCATCTTCAAAGCCAGTATGGCCAATCTTTCTCCTATCACATCACTGTGACACTCTTCTGCCTTCCTTTCCCACATTTAAAAATACTTTTCTGACCACAAAAGTTCTACCCAGAGAATCCAGGATAATTTCCCCATTTTAAGTTTGGTCTTAATTCTGTCTACAAACTTAATGGCCCTTTGTCATGTAATCTAACATTTCCTTGGATTCTGTGAAGTAGAACAGGGACAATTTAAAGGAAAAAATGACATTGTCTACAGCATATTTTATAAAAAAAAAAGCACAGGGTCAGGACAAAGTTCTAGTTTGAGTTCTATGACTAACCAGAAATAACAAAATGGATATGTCTCCTAAAATTTCAGTTATTTCTGGTGAAATGAGAAGGTTGTCTTAGCTGATCTCTAGGGCACTTTCCAATTCAAATCCTCTTGATTCTGTAAATATACCTAACTAAACCTTAGAATGAGAAGATATTATACCTAACTCATCACCACAGAAACGAAAACTTAGGCGAAAGCCTCAAAATGTTATGGGAACATGGCAGAGGGTCATCAGTAGTCCTCTCTGGATAGTGGTAGGGGCTTCGGGACAGGCTGAGAGCTGAGCTTGCCTACCCCTGGCATAAGGACACAGATAATCAGGGACTGAGAACCACATGGAGTGGACACAAGGATTGAAGGGCTTTGACCCTGTATGGCTATGGAGAGAAGACTGAAAAATCCCAAGTGCACAGAGCCTGAAAAGGTGGGACAAGAGGCTAGAAGTGTGAAAGCCAAATGGTGGTGTATTCTGTAGACAAAGGAGATACTGATTAAATTTTTTTATTAAGCAAAAGAAAGACGATAGACTGTGTATCTTATAAAGATAATGCAGGAATAAGGAAAGAGATTACTTTTTAGCTGCTTTGTTCTCCTTTACACTCTTACTGGTAGTGTCATTAAACTGACTTATCAGTTGGATACTATAGCGTAGATTTTCTTAAACATCTAAAGCCCTAGAAAAGAAAAAATTAAAGCATCTTTGTATCTCACCAGTGGTCTTTGTATGTAAAAACAGATATTTATTTATAGCAAAGCCATATTTTAAACTCATGTCTTAAAATAGAATTATATAAACAGAATACGATTGCTCACATAGGTGAAATTTAGATAATTAAGCTTTCAACTCAAAATTACATTCAGCTCCAGGCTAAGTAAGCACTTTTTATTTCTATCTACCTCTGATTAAAAAGTCCTCCTTGAGATTCCAAATGCGTAGGCTCTGTATATTATGATTTTTAGCAGGTAGAGTTCAAAACTCCAGCATACTTCTTGCTAGTTACCACTATCTCATCTCTTACTAGAAGTACAAACATCTTGAATGACTGGGAAGTGTTAGTATAATTGAACTTCTCACTTTCATCTACCAAAGGACTCTCTCCATGTCCTTTGCCTCTGCTCCCTTTAAATTTCTTTTGTTTTATTTTTGTAGTACTGGGGATTGAACCAAGGGGCCTTGCTCATGCTAGGCAAGCCTTCTACCACTGAGCTACATTCCCAGTCCTTTATTTTGAATTTTATTTTGAGACAGGGCCTCACTAAGTTGTCTAGGGCAGCCTGGAACTTGCAATCCTCCTGCCTCAACCTCTGGAGTAGCTGGGATTGCAGGCAAGGGCCTCCACACACAGACGCTCCCCTGAAGTTTTGAACACTCCTCTCCAGACAGCAGAGTACACCCCAGTCCATGGTGGAGTCCTTCTGAGCACTTTTGAGACAAACCACTCGGACTCAAACTTGTCCTCACCACTTGTGTGACACTGAGCAACTTAGCTTCTGTGTGTCTCAGTTTCTGCATCTGTAAAATAGGGATAAAAGAGTTGTTACAAGTGTCAGATGCATTCACATCTATAAAGTAGTTAAGAAATCACAGGCAACCCAGATTATCAGGTCTGTAAGAAAGACTCCTTACTTGCCCAAGCCCCTGTAGTAGAATTTTCTGTTCCTTACACCAGAACATAATCTTAGTTGATGTTATGTGCCCACATAAGTTTAGAAGCTTTGTAAGTTAATAGTTTAATCAGTGCTTTTAAAGTTTAAAAAAAAGGAAAAAGTAGAATGTGGTGAATGTTTTAAATCACCATCTGAAATTCTATTGCTGCATTTGAAAGTCTCTTACATCCTGGCACTTAAAAAAAATTATTTCTTTTACAAGGGCAAACAGAATGAAGTTTATTTTAAAATACTTTTGTGAAATTTCATCCCTATAAAAACAACTAAGGAGAATAGTTAACTTTTCTAAAATACATTCAATTTTGTCCTTCAGTTTTGCAAAACTTCACAGAGAATAACTTTCAAATTACTATTATGTTTGAAATTCAGTTTTTCCTGATACTATAAAATGTCACTGTCAACAGGAGAAATGATGTTTGATGTGCTTTATGCATGTGATTTAGATTAGTGTGCCTTTTGCTACCCAAGGTCAATTAGTGCATCCAGCTCATGTGAAACACTTTATGATCTACTGGTCTTCCATACCCTTAATACAGCTCCTTCAACCCCTTTCATCCAGCTCCCTGATCACTACTCTCTCAACTCCTGACATCCTTGTTCCATCAATTATTAATTCTCTTTTCTATATCTACAAACTCACCTTTCCATTAACTTCTGGAATCAACAAATTTTGTCTCACTGTGGAAATGTTAGAAGCAGACCCTTAGATAAGGAGTCAGGTACAATCACTTTAATCCCTGGAAAAAGGCAAGAAAATAGCAGTGTGATAGAGAGAAAGGAGAAAGTGGACAAAGGGGATGTCACAAAGCACATTTCCATAGTGTGCTAGGACCTAAGCTCTCTCCTCTTGGGGAACTCTGAGAAGTTATCCCAGTGCCTGCAGTGCTCAGAACACACAAAAAGGATATCATCACATCTACTATTCCCACTTACAAACCAACTCCTGTTCACTGTTAGTGTTTGTACCATCTCATTCCATTTCAGCCAACCATTTAAAAAGATTGGGCCAGGGGCCAGGGATTTAGCTCAGTGGTGCCACCGCCTGCCTTGCAAGCAGAAGGTCCTGAGTTCCATCCCCAGTACAAAAAAAAAAAAAAAAAGAATGGGCTATTTTATTTACAGTCTGTTTTCCTCACTTCCTCAAAATGTTGCCATATTGCTATCCCTTCACCAACCCTCCATGACTGTTCCTGCAAAGCAAATCATTAGATGTCTTTGATTCCTTAGTTTGATTCCTCTGCCTTTGGCATCCTTTCCTCCTAAAACTCTATAGTTCAGTAGTTTCCAGATCACTTATTCTAGTTCTCTTGTTTCCCTGAATATCTCTACCTTCATTGAAAGTTTTATTTCTCGTGCCCTTCTTAAGACTCTTCAAATGGTCATAGAGGAAATTAAAGAAGAAATCAGACAGTTCCTTCAATTAAATGACAATGACAATACAACATATCGGAATCTATGGGACACAACGAAAGCAGTCTTACGAGGGAAATTCATAGCAGTGAATACTCACATTAGGAAAACAGAACAAGCCCAATTAAAC